GGTACATATCAGCCAAGCAAGAAGTTCTGGGATTGTGCAGCACTTATTATGGGATGCAGGAGGAGATATGGCTTGGCTTTAGATCTGTAAAACAAACTTAAAGGAGTTAAATTAATTCTTGGACCATTGTTTTATAGCTATCTGTTGATAACTGCCATAGTTCTGGCAGGGATTAACTTGACGAAGCAATTTTGGGGAACATTTTATTATACCTGTTTCACTATCACCAGAAATAACTTGTTATCATCTATCTATAGGGCAGGGCAAACATCTAATTACTGAGCATCTGCTCTTTTTATCATCCTGCAAATGACCTTCTCTTCTCTGAAGCCCCAAGATGCCTTACCTCGTCCTGAGCTCAGAATGTCATGTATACTTCATTTTCTTTTCTGTCTCTGAACCGCATATGTGTGTGGGGTCTCTGACTTTCTCATACAAGTGAGGTTCCCATGCATTTGGTTAGGTTCTTTTGTTAATCTAATCTGTCTCATGTAGATTTAATTATTAGACCAGCTCCCTCCTATTTGCCAAGGGAACAGCTGAGTCTGTTTTTCTGGAGCAGGCTTTCAGTGGTCTCGGATGGCTTAAAGATGCCTCAGAGACACAGTACTTTATTCCCATTTTTCAAGGAATGTCTGATTTCTTCCCATTTTGCAAGTGCACATCATTCCCAGTGGCACGGGAGTCTGACTCCTTCCACCAGGGAACATGGTACCCAACTGAGACCAGGTCTTCTGCTAGCAGGAAGAGCAAAACAAGCCCCGTGTGGTGTCTGGTGGCATGGTCTTGGGGCAGACAGAGCCAATACACAGCTGCTGACGTGAGCCGAGCTTGCCAGAGATGGCGTCATACTTCAGCAGAGTGGCGTCTGCGCTGTCAGTTGGGGAAACTGAAACTTGTCATGATGCCTTTTCTGTGTGTCTTCTCCATCACTTGCGCAGCATGTATGGTCAGCCAGTGTGTTATCACTGCCTGCGGGTGGGCATCTGGACCCTGCTATCAGCATTTCCGTTGATTCCCTGGCAGACTCTGGAATGTGCCATGCAGCAACACGTGGGCATCTTAGGGTGTCTCTGTCCAACTGTACACCACACATGAAGAACAAGTGTTCGGTGGAGATGCAAGATGTGACCAAACTGCCAGTATGAAGTAGGGCCAGGAGCCTCTGACCCAATGGGCCACTGGTCTAGCTCAGTCATTTGTTTTTAGAAAGCTTGAGGTGGTGTGGACAGCTCAAAACAAACTAGTGGCCACTACCTCGGACACACTGGGTCCAGAGGATGGGGTGTCTAAATGTTGCCAGGTACATCCTAAGCGAGGTGGGGTGCAAAGGGCTCCCGGGAGATGCTGGTTCAGGGGCAGCAGAGACCACTTAACCAAGCATGCTTGGTGCCTGCTCCTTTGGATCTTTATGACCTAGGGGCATTTTCACAGGCAAATACCTGCAGGTGTAATTTTACTAAAGATTCATTAAAAAACAGAACTTCACTCTATGCCTCCCCTGGCCACTGGGGAGGGTGGAGTTGTGCAAACACATCACCCTCTGAGCAGGAATCTTGTACACTCACCGCCTGCTTTCCAGGCGTCTCATTCAGTTGTTTTGGGCTGAGGACCAGGTTTAGAATGGGAATTGCTCACAGTTTTAGGATTTTCAAATGGTCCTGTACTCAGAAATTACTTGGGAAGCATTAGGTGTGTCATCTGCAAAGGGGAGATGCTCAAGCAGCACTTGTAGAAAATGCAACTTCTCATACTTAAGTGACACAGGGACCCCTACAAGTTAATGCCATACCCTGCAGGTGGCAATGGGAATTGCTCTACCCATGTGAACAAAATCTAGTTGTGTCGAGAAAAATTTCAATTGCACACATTTTTGTTGCAGAAATTCTGCCTGTGTGAATATATTCCACAGAAATAAAAGTAATAGATTGCAAAGTTGTATGTACAAGGCTGTTTATTGTTTGCAGTGGTGAGAAACTGGAAACAACCTGAAGGTCCATTGACAAGGAAGTGATTAAATTAACCAGGGTCCATTTGTACTATGGAATATTACACAGCAATATAAAAGAGTGAGTTAGTTAACTAACTAGCTGTTGAACTGGAGAGAGGTTCATGATGCAGTGTTAGGTTAACAGAGGCAAATTGCAGAGAAATAAATGTGATATGTATGATTATTGTATTTTTAAAAGAGTTAATCAAATAAAAGCTCTCCCTTGTATAACTACATCTCAGGCAGGAAGGAGGGAGATTGGTTAGGGAAGGTAGAGGGGGAGGCAAGAATAAAAAATCATAGGAAAAATGAAAAAGACATACAATAAAGTTGAGGGAAAATTTAGAATATAAATGCTCACCTGTATCATTATTGCAAATATGTGCATTTGTATAGGCAAATGGATAAGGGCTAGGAAGTTATAGGAAAAAATAAACACTGACTTAATCAGATGCTAGAATTGTGGGCAATGTTTTGTTTGGATTTCTGTTGTAATTTTAATGTCACAATGAACTTTTTTTTTTTTTTTTTTTTTTAAGTCACACTCAGAAGGAACAAGAAAGCAATGGTTGGTGACATTATTCACATTTAAAATGACTCTCAAGAATAATTCAGAAGCTGCTCACAATGTCTTGCACATAATAGGCATGTGGCAGCCCTTTGCTAAAATGAAAAAGCAGACTCACATAGCCCTGATTTGACCTCACAATTTGTAAACATGAGCAAGGATGTTCAAGTACATACAGTTTGATTGAAAGCTCCATAAATAAAGTTTGTATCTGAATCACCATGTACACATTCACTTCACGCCCTGCTTAAATCTGGTTTCTGGAACGATTAAAGAAATGAGAAATGATAGCAATTTTAGAAAATGTACTACATATGGACTAAGTGTTTTCACGTCAGAAATGAAGTTATTTTGCTTATGTGCCTGCGTCTGCCCTTGTAATTACACTCAGGAGAGCCGGGACCTGGAATTTCAACATCAGTTTATAAGTACTTGTTCTTTCTGTCTGTATCGCTGTTGTTATTATTTAGAAAAATAAAAAATAAAAAACTGACATGTAGGAAATAACCTCCGTGTGGTCTGAACTTTAATTTAGCTCCGTGAGAGAATTCAAAAGGACGGTAGAAGTGGGTGGTGAGGGAGGTGCTGGCAGTATGAGAACCAAAACCATGTGGGGGGGGGGGGTCCTCTGTTGTTTCAGTTCAGGGTGGGCATCTGCCCGTGGACCCAGGGGCAGGCTGCTCCCCCGGGATGCCCCAGCCCCAAGTTCTCCACCCCCTTTCTACGTTAAAACCTTCCAAATGTGTCCTTGAGAAGAACATTGATAACAGCAGAGACTCAGAACAAGAGGTACCATTACCAACCTTCACATTTAAAAATTCTTTGAATAAATTGTCTGATAACGTACTTTTTTTTTTTAATCGTACAGACTCTCTTTATAGGAGAATTGATAATATTCAGCAGTTGTCATCTCCAAATATGGCTCAACAATGCCCGTGGGTCTCTGAGACACCCCAGAGGGCCTGTGGGGTGTCTCAGAGCCTTCCATGCATTATTTTTATTTATTCATATTTTATGTATTCATATTTTTAAATATATATTTGAAACTAAAATTAACAAATCATATTTTGTACTATATATTTTAACTAAGAATACACAGATAAGTGGTGTATCTATTCTGGCTCATGGCATAAATTATTATTTTTAAATTTTTATTTTTCAATTACAGTTTACATTTAATATTATTTTATATTAGTTTCAGGTGTACAGCATAGAGGTTAGATAATCATATGCTTTACAAAGTGGTCCCTCTGATACTTCAAGTGCCCAGCTGGCAGTGTACATAGTTATTACAATATTATTGACCATATTCCCTACACTGTATGGCATGGATGAATTCTTCATCAGGTCTCCCTAAAGACCGTTTCTTTTTAACCTCTTAGACTAGGAGGGATTATTTTTTCATAGTGATAAGTGGCTCACAAAAACGATGGCCCGTCCCCAAAGTGGTGGTAAAAATACTGCTTGAAATTGTGTAGAGTCCCTGGGAAAAGAAAGTATACTTAAAGATACTCATATGCATGTACCTAAAACCATGCACAGAAATTTAGGAGAACATTAGAAAGCAAGCATGTCATTTAAAAATATTTCCCTAAATACATGGACTGTTTCAGAGATGGGAACAGCAAACATTTATCCTTCTTGTAGAAAAAAAAAAGAAACCTTCCTGTAGCAGACACATCTTTCTGTGGTTCTTGTCGGCTCTTGGAATCAGTTTGGCAATATTTCCTCCCGAGATCATTTCTGGGCCTTTATCTATCTTTATTTCTATTGTAGTTCAATCCCTTTGTTATACTTTAGTTTAATTAGAAGAATGAAATTAAACCTGCATGTAACAAAGGTATCAAACTACATGACCAGCAGCTCAGGTCTTTTCATATTTCTAAAAATGGAATTTCCAGATTCATCAGAGATATGTTTGCCCTTGGCCTTGAGAGCCATTACGGGTCACAGGACAGCTCTGGGGTTGCACAGAGTGGACTATCTGGGGTCAGTCAAGCCAGGGTTGAATTTCGGTTCTGCCACTTTCTAGTTCTGGGAACCTCAGTTTCCTCCTCTATACAATGGGAATAACACCTACTTCTGAGGATTGTTGGGAAGTATTGTGTGAAGTGCTTGGCACAGTCCCTGGTGCGTTCTTTTACCTGTTCACCAAGCATAGATTATCTGTGTGATACGGTGTGCCGGGCTCTCCACCAGGAGCCGAGGACGCAGGGATGAACACGCCCCTGGGCTAGAGCCTGCAGGGGATTGAGGCGCGAACGATCACATTGAGGCAGATGTCCGAGTGGACACTAGGGAGTGTGCTATTTAAGCGCTGAAGAATCACTGGCCTTTGGTACCTTCAGAACATGTGTGGCTGGAGACTGGGGGAAGAGAGCTGGGATGGCTGTGGTTTGCTCGGCCTCTCTTCTCCGCGGGGCTGCCTGCCTGCTTGCAAGCTTATTTCACTACGAACCAATGGAAAACCAGCAGGCAGAGCACCACGGGCTGGTCCAGGGTGACCCGACGTCCTACTCCCCTTTCCAACCAAAACTCGCACTGCTTGACCGAGCAGAGCTCGCGGATCAGCCGCCACAGGATCCGCTGGTGAAGCCTGTTGTTCTGTTTCTCTTGGGCCAGCAGCTCCTCCTGGTTTGCAGCCTGCGTGGCGTTGATGCAGCTGGTGACAAACTTCTCCTTGGTCACGTTGGCCTCGGAGCAGCCGTTGTAGTGGATCTCGTCGGGGAACTGCCAGTAGTTGGCCTCGTAGTACCTGTTGCCCTCGGCTCCGAAGTCGATGTCCAGCTTCCGGCCGTGCTTGATGAAGGCCCCGGGGCGTATCTGCATCTCCACCCGTTGGGCCTCCGTGACCTGGGACGTACCGGGCGAGGCCTTCCGGTTCCACTTGATTCTGTGCTTTATGCCTCTCGCCTTGACGGCGGCGAGCTGGCTCAAGAGCAGGACACAGACAACGGCCAGCCAGCATGCACCCACGGGCTTCGTCATTGTGTCAGAATCTGCAACAGCAAAGGATGGGGCAGGTCACTTCTCCAGTGGGGCTCCCGGCTCCCCGTCCCCTCCCACGTGTAGATTTTAAACAAGGAATAGCATCCTTGCCCCATTTACATTTTTCCAGGAGTATAATGGTTTTCCCGTGCTTGGGCTGCACAGGGTTAAGTCAATACCAAGTTTCTTGCCTTCACCTGGAACTAGACCCATTCAGGGCGGTGACCCTGGTTTTCTCAGACAGATAAGAAGCTGTAACTGGCAATTATACAGCTTTTGAGTGTACATGGGAAAAGAAATGAGTTAATGACTTAATACACACAAGTTTTCTTTGGTACTCCTGGCTTTTAAATCAAGGGGTCCCTAGGAGGCAAATAGCAGTAGAAGAGTTGGAATCAGAGGCTTCTGGGCATAGAGTGTATTTTAAAATTTTTTTGTTAAGCAATGTTAATACTTAAAATGAAACTATATATTGCTAACCAGAGCAGCTTACAAAATGCATAGGCTGTGTTTTTATTTTATGATTATTATTCATTGTTGACACTATTACATAGGCTGTGTTTTGATTTTTTAAATTTACTTTATTTTAATAGGCTGTGTTTTTAATATTCCCTCTTTATTCTTTATTGCTCTGAGCTGGTACTGTCTTGGGACCTTCTGTCATCTACTCTAAGAAAGTCGCTGGCTGCTGATCCTGAAGGCCTTTGAGGTAATGAGAGAGAAAGAGAGAGAGAGGAGATGAGTGGGGGGGGGAGAGAGATGGGATGTAGGGAGGGACCCCTGCCTCTCTCCATGTCCAGGAGTAATCCTTTCATGTTTCACCACTAGGGACAGCGTGCCCCCCTCTGCCTCTCTCAGCTGACTTCTTGTTACACACTGTGTGTCAGCCACTGACATTGCCTAAGTTACTTCCCACGTGGGATAGGTATACTACTATCCCCATTTTATAAAAGTGGTACTGGGAATCAGAGAAGTTAGGTCATTTGCCAAGGCCACACAACGGCAGGTGGCCGACTTGAAAGCAGCTCTGTCTGACACTGTTCCCATCATGCCCCACAGCCCTTCTGGGCTACAGGAGGAGAAGGTTCTCACATTTTATGCTTTTGACTAACTGGGCATGAAGGGCAGCCCCACTGGACCCTAAACTGAGCAAAGAGCTCAGGAGGCATTTCAGGAGAAATGAGGTGATGGGGAGGGCCTGGGGGATGACCCTAGGGCATCTGGAAGGCTGCCCATGACATCAGGGAATATCCTTCCCTTCCAGCCCCCTAATCCGGTAGTTTGTCACATCTGGCTCCTGAAACTACAATAGTTATTATGGAAATCCACCTCCCAAGGTTAACTGTTCGGGCATTCCAGCACCTGGACCTTTGTCGGAGTGGATCAGGGATACAGGAAGTTATTATAGAGGAGCATGCTTAGGTTGTCGCCTAGATAAGATTTACTGTAAATTCCTAAGTGCCAGAGCTGGAGGAGGTTGGAAAGTTACCTTGCTTAGCCCCTAACACACCCTCCATCATTTCCTTGCAGTATTCCTTAAAGTGGTTAGTACACCTCTGTTAAAATGTTCCACTCTGGTGAGACACTGATTCTTATGTGGAAAAACAGGGAAAATCCAACCTAAGTGCATTTCTAGTCTCCTCTGGGTGCCTGCAAAGAGGCCTCTGCTAACTTTTCTCTTTCTTTCTTTCTTTCTTTCTTTCTTTCTTTCTTTCTTTCTTTCTTTCTTTCTTTCTTTCTTTCTTTCTTTCTTTCTTTCTTTCTTTCTTTCTTTCTTTCTTTCTTTCTTTCTTTCTTTCTTTCTTGTATGTGCCCCTAGTGGGAACCGAACCTGAGACTCTCTGGTCCACAAGCCGACACTCCAACTGCTGAGCGAAACCCGCCAGGGCTCTGCTAACATTTCTTAATGGTCAGGCATCACTTGGCTTCTGCCTCAGGGTGGGCATGCATGTGCCTGGCAGCTGCCCGTGCACCCAGGCTTTCAGAACCCCACCCCTCATACCCCCTAAACACAGTGAACTCAGAGCAGTTTTCTCCAAAGAGTTTCAAGCAAACATTCATTAACCTCTCAAACAGGGACCACACCCCATGTCATCAGCCCTTACTCCTTGGTAAGAGAAACCTTAAATAAGAATAATAACATCAATTATAAGCACATCAAATTAAATAAAAGCATAGAGATCTTGAGAAAGAAATTAGTCTTTCTAGACAAGGGCTTAAAAGCAAGAGAAAATCCCAACCAGTCAACCCTAAAATAGATTTTATTATAGCAGCAAAACATAGACATGCAACACCTAGGGTGACTAAACATTCTCACAAGTGTCCCCTCACTTGGGTCCCATCCCCTGAGATAGGAGTCAAATAACCATTGCATGGTTTGCAGTCTGGTTAGAAATGAGCAACCCTGACCACAGAAGTGGAATCACGCACAAACCCTGCCTCCCCACATACCTTGGGCTCTCTCTGGGAGCGTGCCTCTGGAGCACCTGCCACAGGCCGCGCTATCCTGGAGCACAGTCTTGGCAGCCAGGCCTGCCCAGCTTTGTAGGAGCTGCAGAAGGAGTGGCATTCCTGCCTCTTTCCAAATATGGCAGCCTCCCCTCCCTGGCAGGACCAATCAGGAGTTCCCGGGCGCTCCTTTGTCTTGAGAAGGATGGAGCTTCTCATCACTCTTTACTAATAAGCATCACATGAAGATCTTGATGAAGTTCAGCGACACTTGAGAGTTGCCTTTTATTTTATTTATGTATTTATTTACTCACCATTGCCAGTTTATTATAAAGGATACAAATGAACAGCCAGATGAAGAGGTGCAGAGGGTAAGGTCTGGAAGCATTCCAAATGCAGGAGCCCCCACAGAGTTTGGGGTGTACCACCCTCCCAGAATGTGGATAAGCGCACCAACCTGGAAGCTCTCCAATCCCCGCTGTGCCCGAAACTGGGGACAAAAACCAAATATTGTAACAAAAGCTGATCCTATCACCCCTACCACTCAGGTAGTTACAAGTTCTGTGCCAAGCACTGAGGACAAAGATCAAACATATATTTCTTACTACATGACAGTGTCACAGCTGGACAGATGGATGGATGCATCTGTCCGAAGAGTCCATTTGGGGCTATTTTTAAGGCTGGTATTTTTAGAGGTGCCCTTTAGAATGGAAATGAAAAGTGTTAGAAGGAAAATGCTCTCCCATCACTATCTACAACAGAGGGTGGTTTAAACAGGCCTTGCTGGATATGCAAACTGTCCTGCACCTTAAGACCAGCCTCAGAGAGCAAAGGGGACTTTGCTGGGCACCCTTTGTGGGAAGGGTCAGGTCAGGAAGAGGGCAAGTTTTGAGCTGGACCACCTGCAGGGCAGCCTGAATCCACAGGGAGTGTGGGGCGAAGCTTGTGTTAGGTAGTGGGAAAAACAGGGCTAATGGTAGGTGGAAGGTCAAACAGAGGACTTACCAGCACTTGGGGCTGCTGCAGTAACAAGGGAAAGCTTGAACCACTGAATTAGTCCAAAGGTCAACGAGTTGAAAATCTGGGGCCACCCAGGGTACCGAGACAGATGGAGATGAAATCAATACCGTTTACAGACAGTGGGAGCTGAGAGTGGTTTTCTTCAGTACCTCTGTGCCTGCATGATGCCCAGTGCAGCCCCGAGGGGTGCTGGGGAATCAGTCACTCCTGGCATAAGGGACTGTGCATAGCTGTTGGGTGAACACTCCTTACACAAAAGGGTCTTATTCAGGTGTCCCTGTTATGATCATTACTACAACTCGAAATAAAGAGTGAATTGTGGAGGTGTGCATGGAGTGAGATTTACCTGAAAATATGATTTTCGGCATGAATGTGACTTGTTCTCCAGATTTGCTTCCAAGTTCTTTTGCAAACCAAATTAAGCGACTGCTTCTGGGCTGACCAGCAGATGGCGCGAGAAGAGCTTACAAAGAGAAGAGCTTACAAAGCCTTTCGCCCTGGAGGTAGGAAACCCAGCAGCAGCGCTGCCCTCGCAGAGCTTCTATGCTCTCAGTGGATTAGGGGCTTCCAGCTGGCCCTCTCTTTCTCCCCCGTCTTTTCTTTCCAGTTTTATTTCCTTTTCCTTTACAAAAAACCCCCACCACTTTACCATTTTTATCTAGAATCACAGACTTTTGGTCTTGTGAACACACACACAAACACGCTAGTATAAACAGTGTAAACTATTTCCATATGCAGAAGAAAAAGAAAAAAAAAAGATCTCTTCATATTTCACTGTCCAGAGACAAGTGTCAGTACAATTCTATTCATTGTGTGGATGCTTAGGGTCATAATTAGGGGTAGAGACGTTCAGAGCTGGAAAAGACTCAGAATCCTTGGTTCAGCGTTCACACTGTGAGGTCATGGGACCCAGATAGGCCCAAGGCCACCCAGCCAGGCAGTGCTGTTCCCGCAGGCCCAATGCTCTGTTCTGAACTGTGTGTACGGTTCACCCTGCCTGTCCCCATCTGGCACCATCACTTCCCAGCCACCTCCATCCCTTTCTTTCCGTCTCTTTCGGAGCAGGACTATGCCCAGAGCGCAGTGGGAGGTTGTTTTAGAGCTGATGAGACTGCAGATTCTTCTTGTCAGGGAACAAAAGGCTGTTCTCAGGCAGAGAGGGGTGTGGAAGACTGAAACTGTTCAGAAGAAGGGAGGAGCTCTGGAAGCTGCAAACGAAGCAAAAAAAACTGTTAAGCAGACGCAGAGAGTGCAGAACTGCTCTGCTCCTCCCTGCGAAGACAGACCAGCAGTCAAGGAATTAGTGGAGAATATTCGTCTCTCTAAGTGAGCAGAGAGGCCAGGGCCCCGAGAATCGTGTCTTCTGGCATCAACAATTATATTAGGAATATAATTTAATGTGGATCATGTTTATGAAAACAGGAAGAATGACATTGGTTCCACAGGGCTGGGTGCTCCATGATGCAAAGGACTAGGATATATTTTGCACAAATGTATAAATAGGAAATTATGTGGATTAACACATATAAATAGAAATAGGGAGAGACTGAGTTCTAAAATGCATGAATAGTTCATTATTATACCATTTCCTAGTTTGATTAGAGCTCAGACCTTTGCAGAACATTTTAAAATAAATATAGTGATTGTTAAGATACAATGCTAAACTGTACCCAGAAGGCTGAGTGTGTGGGAAGATCACCCACCATATCTTGGCTTTTTGAAGATTTATCAAGAATCTGTTATGTGCTTGGGACCATGTTGTGCCAAAGCAGAAAGAGCATAGAGATGGATAAGGCAGCTAAAGGAGCTCCTGGCCTAATGGTAGAGAAATAATTGAAATATGTTTTGGAAAATAATACTTATTTAGAAAGCTGTGTAGCTGTCTAAACAACCATACTCAATTTTGTTTTCTCACAGAAAGCTATACATATCCTAGGGTACAGCATTATGTATTTTACAAACTAAACACACCCGTGTAACCTGCACCCAGATTAAGAAACTGAACATGACAGCATCCCCAAAGGCTCCACATGTCCCCGTCAGGTCTTGTCCCCTCCCCTCTACTGTCCAGACTCCTTCTACCATAGGTTAGTTTTGCTATTTTTTTCCCTTTATTAATTTTTTCCTTTTATTTTATTTTATTTTTATTTTTGTTACAGATGTTTCTCCTTTTTTTACCCCATTGACACCCTCCTCCCCATCACCCCCACCCCGTCCCCTGCTTTGTTGTCCATGTCCATTGGTTATGCGTACATGCATATAAATTCTGTGGTTTATCTCTTCCCTCCCCCTACAACCCCCGCTTCTGAGGGTTTCAGTCTGTATTCTACTTCCATGTTTCTGGGTCTACCCTATTCCTCAGACTGTTATGGTCATTATATTCCACAAATAAATGAGATCATGTGGTATTTGTCTTTTTCCGTTTGGCTTGTTTCACTTAGGATAATACATTCCAGGTCCCTCCATGTCATCTCAAAGGATAAGAGATCTTTCTTTCTTATAGCTGCATAGTACTCCATCGTGTATATGTACCACTGTTTTTTTATCCATTCGTCTACTGATGGACACTTGGGCTGTTTCCAGATCTTAGCTATTGTAAATAGTGCTGCTATGAACATGGGGGTACATATATTCTTTCTGATTGGTGTTTCAGGCTTCTTAGGGTATATTCCTAGAAGTGGGATCACTGGGTCAAATGGAAGTTCAATTTTTAACTTATTGAAGTAATACCCTACTGTTTTCCATAGTGGCTGTACCAGTCTGCATTCCCACCAGCACTGTACTAGAGTCCCCATTTCTCCACACCCTCGCCAACACTTGTTGTTTGATGATTTGTTGATGGCGACCATTCTGACAGGTGTGAGGTGATATCTCATTGTTGTTTTAATTTGCATCTCTCTGCTGATTAATAATGTTGAGCATTTCTTCATATGTCTTTGACCATTTGTATGTCCTGTTTGGAGAGGTGTCTATTCAGCTCCTCTGCCCATTTTTTAATTAGGTTCTTTGTCTTCCTGTTGTTGAGTTGTATGAGCACTCTATATATTTTGGAAATTAACCCCTTATCTGATGTATCATTGGCAATAATGTTCTCTCATACAGTGGGTTGCCTTTCCATTTTGATGGTTGTTTCTTTTGCTGTGCAGAAGCTTTTTAGTTTGATGTAGTCCCATGTGTTCATTTTCTCCTTTGTTTCTGTTGCCTTAGGTGATGTATCATTAAAAATTCTGCTGCGTATGATGTCCAAAATTTTGTTGCCTACATTTTCTTCTAAAATTATTATGGATTCACGGGTCACATTTAAGTCTTGTATCCATTTTGAGTTTATTTTTGTGTATGGTGTAAGTTGATAACTAGTTTCATTTTTTTGCATGTAGCTGTCCAATTTTCCCAGCACCATTTATTAAAGAGGCTGTCTTTACTTCACTGTATGCTCTTGCCACCTTTGTCAAATATTAATTGAGCATATTGCCTTGGGTCCATTTCTGGGTTCTCTATTCTGTTCCACTGGTCCATATGCCTGTTCTTGTGCCAGTACCAGGCTGTTTTGATTACAGTCACTTTGTAGTATAACCTGATATCTGGTATTGTGATCCCACCTACTTTGTCCTTCTTTTTCAAGATTGCTGTGGCTGTGCAAGGTCTTTTTTGGTTCCATATGAACTTTTGAAGTATTTTTTCTAGTTCTGTGAAGTATGTTGTTGGTATTTTGATGGGATTGCGTTGAATCTCTAGATTGCTTTGCTTTGGGTAGGATGGACATTTTAGTGATGTTAATTCTTCCAATCCATGAACAAGGTATGTGCTTCCACTTTTTTATATCTTCCTCTATTTCTTTTTCCAATGTCCTGTAGTTTTCTGCAAATGGGTCCTTTACTTCTTTGGTCCTTTACTTCCTAGGTATCTTAATTTTTTTGCCACAATTATAAATGGGATTGTTTTTTTCAGTTTCTCTTTCTGTGAGTTCATCATTGGTGTATAAGAATGACGTTGATTTCTTGAGGTTAATTTTGTATCCTGCTATGTTGCCAAATTCATTTATTAAGTCTAGCAGATTTTTGATGGAGTCTTTAGGGTTTTCTATGTATAATATCATGTCATCTGCGAATAACGACAGTTTCATTTTCTCCTTTCCAATTTGGATCCCTTTTATTTTTTCTTCATGTCTGATTGCTGTGGCTAAGACTTCCAGTACTATG